CTGTCATTCTCTTGGTAACGCTAAAATACGCACTTTATTACAACTACTCCTCAATAACTATAGCACTGTCCCGCCTGAAACTTATTTTCCAAATACTATACATATATGAGATGGTTTTAGACGTATTTCATCGAATATGAGACAGTTAGATATTTAACAGTAAACCCTTGAAAATCAAGTTTTTGTCGATTTTTGACGTGGAATTTCTGGAAGCCCATGTTAACCTTATGAGAAATGAAATTATTGAATCTTAACAGCTGTTTCAATTAAACAAGTTGGTTCTGTTCTGTGATGTTCAATAGCATTAAAGTTACAAGGATTACCAACAGGGTGCAGCACTAGCACTATTATTTCTTTTACATTTATGACAACAGCTAATTTGCAACCTGGAGGCGAGTGAGCGTAGCGAACGAGCTAACCTGAAGGCAAGTGAGCGTAGCGAACGAGCTAACCTGAAGGAAAGTGAGCGCAGCGAACGAGCTCCAACATACAGGTGAGTGAGCGTAGCGAACGAACTTCAACCAGGACGTGATTGAGCCATGCAAACGAGATCAGATAGTAAAAATAAAAGTAAGCCTACCGTTATAGGATCGACCGGCAGACACAGAGGTAATTTAACCTTTTATTGATTGTCATACCGATCCGGAACAACAAAAAACAACATAAAATGAAGCTATGTATAATAGTTTGGCCAGCATATCTTAAAATATGCAAACCAACTGCTGTTCGTTATATAAGAAGGTTTCAACTGAATATTATAAGATCCCCGTGCGTAGAACGGGTACACAGCTAGTTTGGTTATATTTGTAAGTGATCTGTCAAAGAACAACCCTACTCTAATTCCTTATTTAAAGAATTTAAGAACAAATTACAAAACAAAAGTAAAAGAGGCTAATCAGGCTTCAGTGGCTGCTTCTATCTCCAATGCAGCAAATCCTTGTAAAGCAGCTTGGGATTTTATTAAAGCCACCAAATCAAAGCCCGCTGTTAGTGGCAAAACCTTTGCCCAAGCTGAAGAATTTAATCAATATTTTGTAAATTCTGTAGAGGAACTCATAGGGGGTTGTAGCACATCCCTAACGCCAAGTACTAGTACCGATAATCTAGAAAATAGTCTTAAATCAGTCCCAATTGTACCTTTTAACTTTTCTTGGAGGCCTGTGACGCCAACTGCTATCATTAACATTGCGCATAGCTTCAAACTGTCAAAGAGTAAAGATTATTTTGACATGAAGATTGAACTACTTAAGGGTATAATTCATGTAATTGCTTCTCCCATGGCTACCATCATAAACACCTGTTTGTATGAGGGGGTATTTCCTGACGCCTTAAAAATCTCCAGAGTTGTACCAGTTTATAAAAAGGGATCTCATGATAACTTGTCTAGTTATAGGCCTATAGCTATAATTCCCATTCTGGCAAAGGTGTTTGAGGCTGTTATGCTGGAACAACTGTATGAGTACCTTGAAGTCCATCACCTGCTTGTGCCTGCGCAGTACGGCTTTAGGAAGGGCAGATCCACTGTTTCGGCAGTGGACTCCTTTCTTCAGGTAGTGCTTGATTTCTTTGAAACCAAACAAAACACTTCCGTCTTGCTCTGTGATCTTTCACGATCTTTTGACTGTGTCTCTCACCAAATTCTTCTTATGAAACTTGAAAGATATGGCCTGCAGAGTGGTGCACTCGACGTACTCAGATCTTACCTTAGCAATAGACAGCAGATAGTATGTTGGAATGGTAGAAATTCCACCCCTTTGGCAGTAAATCATATGGTGTCCCTCAGGGCTCCATATTGGGCCCTTTCTTGTTTTTGGTGACCATTAAAGATCTCTACTATGAAGTGTAAGGTAATGTTATTATTTATGTAGATGACACTACCTTGTTTGCCAAAGATCCTGACTTGAAGCTCTCAAAAACCAAAGTTGAGGGTTTTCTTTCTACTGCTACTGCCTGGTTCAATGTTAACAAATTGATCCTCAATGAATCCAAGACTCAGGCAATCACCTTTAGCTTGGGAAAGTCTGCTGAGTGCACTGACCATGTAAAGCTGCTGGGCTTTACTCTGGACCCTCACCTTGACTGGGGAGATCATATTGAGTCGCTGTGCTGTAGGCTTAACAGGGTTATATTTTTATTGAGAAGACTGAGTTTTTACCTGCCAAAAGATTTCATTCGTGTTGCTTACTTTGCTTTTTTCACTCCATTATTATCTACGGAACGAGGCTCTGGGGTCACTCGCCTAAATTCTGGTTCTGCAAAAGAAAGCGATGAAGGCACTTAGTGGAGCCCAGGATCTCGCGCACTCCAAACCACTGTTTCTCCAAAACAAAGTCATGACTGTATATAATGTATATATTTTTCAATGTCTCCTAGAAATTAAGTCCAATGAAATATACCTACCTAGAAATCAGCATGTACATAGCCATAACACTAGAAATAGGTTTGATATTTTCACTGTAAGGCACAGACTATGAGTAAATCATTTAATAGTTATCCTGTTACAGGTTGCAAGTATTTTAATCATCTGCCTCTTGAAGTGAGGCGTTTGCCTTTACCAAAATTCAAAGCCTTTCTAAGTAATTGTCTCTTAGAAACACCTTTATTTGACTCTAGAGAGGTCCACCTGTAATTAGGTAATGCATGGTGTGTGCTTTTTTTAACTGCTTTTTGATTTTTTTTCCCAAATGTGCATGGTTTTAATCTGATTTATTTTACTTTTTATTTTGTCTGCTATTTGACTTGAACTAAGCATGGTTTGATTTTATATGTTAACCAATCTCTGATGATGGTTTTATTTTTATTTTATTGAATTATGTATTGACATAGCCTATTATATAATGTTTAATGGCCAAATAAACAATTTGAATTTGAAAACACTCACAAAAGGCAGCCAAAGTTGCCTCCAAATAAAAAATGTGAAAACTCAATCGTTTTCAACGTATTTCTTATGTTATTTTTAATTTAACACCATAAATCATAACAAAAACAAACTTACATAATTATTTGCAAATCCACACAAATAAAGCTTTCCAACAACCCATTAATTAAAATCGGTCCAGTAGAACTCTAAATTTAAAGATTTAGTTTTACAATGATTTTAATTTAAAACTCAATTATACATATTGTAAGTAGATAAAGACTGGTTTGATTATGTACGATACACAAACAGTAGTAGTAGTTAACATACTTGATAGCAGTAGGTGTCAACACAACTTTGATTGTTAAGTCAGCTGGGGGAGTGTGGTAAAATCAGCTGTCACCACTCTTTCAAAAAGGTCTATTCCTATTGTGAATTTCTTAAGTTGACTCTTAACCAAAACTAGTGTACCTGTTGCTCGAATTCAAGCTTGCGAAGTATTACAGGCGACAATTTAAAACGAATAACAGTCATAATTTCCGATGACTTTAAAAGATTGAGTCGGCTCAAATATTATGAAAATACTCACGATGTACAATACAGTTCAATATAATCAACGTTTCTTGTAAATATCTTATCATTTTTCAAAAGCTGATCTTGTTTTATTGATAGTATTTTCTACAAATGTTTCCCACTCATAGGTTGTCCATAATAACGATTATAAATTAAAAAAAAATATATATTTCTATTTCTTCTACTTGGTGGTGTTCTATGACTTTCCTATGTTTCCATAGTTTGCAAATCGGCTCTTTCAGTGATTACTCAAGAAATGTAGCACAGAGTTAATTCAGTTCTCTTTTTAGTATACCAAACTGTCCAGACTTTCTCGCTTTTTCCATTGTAGTATTTACGCTAACCCAAATTCAGAGAGTAAATATTTCATTTTAACAGAGTCAGTAAATGTTTGTAGCACAGGTTTCCTTAAATTGCAACTAAAATATTAACAGAAATTAAATCATCCAGCTCCAGCTGATCATAATGTAAACATATATATGTTCTACATAAAGATAACATGGGAACTTTAAGGAACTGGGCAGAGCCAAAGGGACTTTTTCAAAAATATAAGGTCAGTTTGCAAATCTACACACCTAGACAAACATTTTGTTTGGTATATAATATTTGGGGTTAAATCTTAAAACAAAAAGCCTTAATGTTTACAAAGTTTCATGTAGCGTATTAATAACGTAGATGAGGCTATGTATACATTAATATTAGACATGTTTGGACAGGCACATTGCACTTAATTTACCCTTATGAGGGTTTTGTTTTACTTACCCTGTATTTAGAAAAGGGTTAAGAATGATGCTTTTAACGTGTGACATTTATTAAATAAACACTTCAATACATATTAAATAACAAGACTAGGAATTAGACAATTTATAATCAACGATTCTTAAAATTAAAATTGAACTTTTAAAATACTTTATGAAAGCTGTTGGTAGTATAAAGTTATAGATTGCTCTTTAAGTGTATACTGGCACATTTAGAGGAACAGAGATCCTAGACATGACCACTGTCCAGCATAAGACCAGATCAATGATTTAAATGAATAGAAATCCATATAAGATATACTGTGCTGACAGTATAATACAATAATTCCGACCTGAAATCATAGTTCTCTAAATTCTGCATTTGTTAGATTTGTAAATCAAACTAATATATTAAAAATACTGATTAAATAACACTTGATTTAAAACTAGTTAGTCGATAATACAAGATTAACTTGAGTACAAAGCCTTATATTTTTGTTAGCTATTTCAGTATGATTTATTTGTGTATACTAGCATCGACAGTCTTTGATTTACACAATATAATATACAATGGAACCTCGATATCTTGATAAACAAGTGTCTAATGGAAATTATAAAATAAACTTAATTCCAAACAAAGTTGATTTCTTATAGACGTTTACAGTAGCATGTGAGGATATATATAAAAGAGGTAATATAAAATCAATATTTGGAATTGGCACTTGTTATTGAGGTTCCACTGTATGTAATGCACTGAGGCAGAGCAAGAAATACAGGTCGGATCAAATGAAGATTCATTTATCACTAAAATAAAATGAATGGACAATCAAAAATTAATGTTGTGCATAAGACCACAAACAACAACACAATATAGGCTACAACCAACTAAAGCAGAATGACATTTTAACCTTAGGAACCACTTTGTTGCTACTGTACTAAGAAATCAATACTCTTTGAGACAAGATAGTCTAAAACAAGTAACAACATAATTTATTAAGCCTATTTGTTGTTGAAATCTTTTAAAACGTTTTTATTCTCAAAATAACATGATATGACTATTGTACTAGTAAGTAACATGACGTAAGAGAGTGCTTGTTATACATTGATTTTTGGATACATCAGTCATATATCTGATTCCATCATGATTATACCATGGATAAAACATACTCCCTTAGTAGATTTCTCATCCTTATGGAACAGCTGAAGACAATTTTATTGTTAGTTCATGTACGGTTTATGTAGAGGTCGTGTTTTGTTTACAATTTGTTTCCCGTTATTACAGCCATTTAAAACCTCGTTTAACCAAATAATACGATCTAATCATAAACAATAACTTGTCCCCTAGTTATATAACCAAACAGTAAAGCACAAATCAAAAATTAACCCTAAAATAATGGAAACAAAGTTTCATCGACACTAGCGCCTTTGTGTCACGTACATGAACTAGACACGAAAAACGTGCTTCAAAATTTACAATGGGATGAGAAGTCTACTTGTGTTGGTTAGTCTATGATTATACTTTGTCAACAACCAATAAAACAAAGGACTAGTAGCTTCACACACACAAAATACTCATACCTGCTGTAGGTGCCTAACATAACCTATAAAAATCGATTTATTGTTCCTTATTATTGACTTCTAGTACATAGAGTAAAAAAGGAGAAAATTATAGAGAGCAATGAATAGGTTTATTATGTATTCACGACTAATATGTATCACAATTTGTGGTGATTTGTTCACAACGTAAATGCTAAAACTATGAATAAATGTAAATCAAATGTATATATTTCTAAAACTCTGCTTGAAGCTAGAATTAACTACTGGTGTGATGAAATAAAATAAAAGATAGAATATTTGATTTTATCTTTTATATCATTATCATTTAATATAGTACTTTAGATTATTTAAATTTATTGATATAAGTGAATAGTTTTATTTATGTTTTAGAGGTTAAGTGGTAGAGAGGACTTTCAAGTCCTAACTTTTCCTCTTAACCCTTTCAGTGCTATGCAACGATATATTGTTGTTTGCGTTTCATCCAAAAGCGCTAAGCGACGATATATCATGCCGGTGCGTCTTTAGATCCTGTGAGTTTAAATGGACATATCGGTTGTCTCGGTTGTAGTTTCGAAAACGCGATGGTTTCTTTCGATTCCTCATACGATCGAGGTACAATATATCATTCCTTAGCACTTTTAAGATACAAATTTTATTTTTGCCGCTTTTTTTCTCGCACTAGACTTTGCCCCTGTGGCAAGCCTAGCACTTTTCGGACAAAATAATTAAATAACTCTAGTACTTTTTAGGAAAATTACAATAAAAATATTCTAGCATCGAAAGGGTTAAATAAATACATTTTTAATTTTATTTCATTTCAAAATAACTTAAATGTTTAATTCCAACACCCCAAACCCTGTTATAACAATTAAGCCCAACGGTACTGTTGAATATATATTTTGTTTTATGTTGGTCTAACATTTCTCTATAGCGGTTAAGCACAGGGTAAGCAAACCACCAACTACAGCGGTTTCCAAAATAAGGGCCGTAAGTCGTACCAACTGGTGGTTCGCAGGAGCAATTTTGATGGTTTGATGGAAAATTAAAATATTTTTAATCCAGGTCCTTAATTTTCACTATCCAAACAGACGCGGTGAGCACTATATAAAACAGTAGTACTGAGTAGGTAGTATGCAGCAAGGCAGTACATATTTGTTACATAAAATATTTTCTGTACAATCACAATTCACCTGATTAACGTAACAAATGTGGTTTCGGTTTTAAACTAGCAATTTTCAAATACCAAATGTTTGTGAAATCTTAATTCCTGATTTTTATTTGTGGATTTGAATAGTTTTTGGATTTCTGACGTAGGGGAAAAGGGAACCCAGGGGGGTTGGAGGGGAATATCCGATACATATAAACAGAATATCCTCAAGCCAATGTTTATTTTATTTTTATTTATTTATATAAAATAAATAAATAAATAAAGCCAATGTAATGGCTTGTTTAGAAGCTACAGGAGCTAAATAAAGCCTACTTCAAAATCCCACTAAACTCTGAACTATTTAGTTATGTCTAATTCATTTTTACCACGGTATACTCTTGTGAAGTGATATTATGATTAACAAATTTAAGTATTTTTTTTGCTCACAGTTATTTTTCTTTAAGGTTAAAAAAAGCCATTGTTCAAGAGTTTTAATTATCTTGGTTTCTTACAGTTAGTGCCTTGTACCATTCTAAACATAGCCTTTTTCATTCAAAGCATTTATGTACCACTACAATCACAGACACAGTGCTTAAAGCATTCTCACTTGCCTTTTAGTATAGACTGAGTAGAGCTACACAAACTAATTATTAACTAAGGTTTCAATAGGAGATCATTCAACCCAATGACGATCTTGCTGAAGAGGTCACCGCCCATTTCGACAAAGTCTATAATGACAACGTTGATTCCTCGTAGGCCTGGACGTTGCTGTTTGAGCCACGGAATTACTGCTTGCAAACAAGGCTTGGAGCATTTAGATCTCAACTCTCCGCACGGATGATGGATTACAAACTGATAACAAAGTATTGTGTGAGGTAAGCAAACTTACAACTAACCACAGGTTAAATTATTCTACTTAAGTTTTATCTCCGATACCTCTGAAAATATAGTTATGACAATGCATGCCACCCCCAGAATATAATACAAGCGTTGCAAGAGAAAAAAAATTATAAACTCTCAAACGCTAGTGGAGTTTAGATTCGCTCGTAAAGATTTCGTAAAAAAAATACAACCCTTCCCAGACGGGTGATGGATATATCCGCCTAAGTCTTTGGCGATAATGGACGGTAGGTGGATATATCCGCTTATGGATTTTGATGTTCCGGACGGGAAGCGGATATAACCGTCTTCTTTTCAGACAGACTGGCAGGTGCTTGAGCAGTAACCAGATATTTCGCGGTACCACGGCGCCTCTCTCCATGGCTGCGCTCTCTCTCACACTTCCCCCTCTCTCGTCCCATCCCCTCTCCCGCGCCTTCCCCTATCCCGCGCACCACCCTTCTCTCCTACGCTCCCCCCTCGTCGTTTCGCGCTCAATACTACGTTGTCTTTATTTATTTATTGTATACATATTGTTCTTTATTTATTGCCCAACGTTGTCATGGTCATTTCTTCAAAGACGGGTGGCGGGGATATATCCGCTGCTTTTCTACTCATCCGCGGACGGGTAGCGGATATATCCGCATAGTAAAAAAACGAGTAAAAAATTATTTTGACAGTATGAAGTGTTCCATTGTGTTTATTTTATGTATACTTGTAAAACAAAACGCAAATAACAAAATTAATTTTTATTTTTTCCTATAATATTTTCCCGTTCTATGTCACGATTTTGACCGTCCGGGAAGGGTTAATTGGTGGCGCCAGTGGTGTCTGGCCCCTTACTTGATTTTCTCTGTTTACACCCACCCTTCAGCTAGATTTAATCTGAGTTTCGAGAGAGTGCAGTTAAATTACAGAGGTTTTCTCAGCATGCGCCCAAATCTCCTAAAAGTGTTTTTTTACTAGTTACATGAGTAATTGATTAACAAATAAATTTGTTCCTAATTTAAGTATAATTGCTTCACTTGTGATGGAATCTCTGCATGCTCTCTTGTAATACCCGTTTAAAGGCTAAGTACCCGCTCGAGGGTTAAAAATTAAATTCACTTAAACCGTTATCTTATAAAATTTAGTAATGGTCCTACCTTGGTATCGGGTGTGAGAAGACATTGGGTGACAAAACCGGCGTTCTTAGGGCGATGTGCCATTGTCTTGTTGAGGAATTTTAGTAGGGCGTCAGAATTGGTAGTCTGGGGCCACGGCGTAGGCCATCTCACTCCAGGCCACAACTCCGCATGTTTCTCCACCAAATCGTCTCGATAGATAGCAATAACTCTGTATCCATGATCCAACATCCACGTCAGTGTCACTGTCATTATGTCCCATGGCAGAGGGCACAACTTGCCTCCAAAAGTATTTTTAATCATTGATATCAACAATTCGTGAGTCTCATCACTAAAATTGTAGAAATGTTGAAAATCCAGTATTATTATTTCTTCAGGGAACTCTTCTAGGAAATTGTTTAATGTTTGGAGATGAGGGTATATTTCATCACCGTACAGACCGTGGACAGCATACAATTTTGTATCACCCTCTTTTGTGGATATTCTCAAATCCAGATATCTGAAAAACAAAGTGGTGTAAGTAAGCCTACTGATTGGTACCATTATTTTTCACTGTTTCTGAAAAGTCATAATAATAATGTAAACTTTAAGGGCATCACCCTAAAAATGTTTACAAATTCAGTAAAAATATTATATATACAGTAGGACCTCGATAATTTGACACAGGCCGTGACGACAAGACATATTGACAGCAACCAATGACGGGTCTGCTGAGGTAAAAAAGGGCATTTTTTTGTTTATGTGCAAGGAAAAAATACAATTATCTATATATCCCAATTACTTTTTTTTGCTTTTTTCATAAAATCCAAAGTTTTTTTAGGGAGAGGAGGGACAATACATCCACACACACAGGTGGCCAACCTGTAGTGTGAGACTCCTGAGAAGAACAGACTACTCACTAAAAAACCACTCAGTAGCCTGGTCCACCATCCCCGCGTCTCCTGCTCCCAGCTCTCCTGCCAGAACTTGAAGGTGCGGGCAAGCTCCTCACTTCTTGCCTGGTCCTCTCCACGCCGCTGATATAATGCCTTCCTCTCTGCCGCCAAAAGTTTAACGGGGATGACTCCAGCAATCACCAGGATGGCGGGTTTGGACACTGTTCGGTATGCGGATGCCACCCTGAGTGCTGCCTGACGCTGCACTCAAGTGAGCCGCATCCTGTACACCTCCTTGTTGAGTGCATTTGCCCACACTTCCGCACCGTACAGGAGTACGGACTGGACCGCAGACATTAACAGCCTTCTGCGGCTGGACCGTGGACCTCCAACATTGGCCATTAACCGGCTAAGGGAAGAAACCACCTTAGCGGCCTTGTCCGCCGTACGGATGATCTGGTCTCGCTAGCTGAGCTTGCTGTACACCATGACCCCAAGGTACTTGGCGGCACAAGCGGTTTGGACTTCAATATTCCACACCCTCTACAGCACGATGGTGTCAATCCTCTTTTTAGTTAAAATCACAATCTCAGTTTTGCTCAGAGCGAACGAGAGCCCGTGATCTGCCATCCATGCGCTAATGGTGCGCATGGACCTCGGTTTAGTTTCAGCTGGGCAAGCTCAACGCTACGTGCAGCTATTAAAGTCACAACGTCATCTGCATATTTAACTAACAGAGTTTCCTCAGGCATCTCAGACCTCAGGAGGCTGTCATAGGCGACGTTCCGAGTATGGATCCTTGAGCAGCACCAGAAGTTACAGTCATCGTCCGGAGGTCTTATGTAGTGTCATAAATGAGGAGGGGAAACCGGAGATCCTATATGATCCTATATGAGTCCTATATGATGCGCATGAGGTACGCCAGGACGTGGAAGGTGTTCCCTAGAGCACCCAGCATATTGCACCTTGCGGAGTTAAATGCTTTTCGCACATCAATTGTCACAAGCAGCACAACCCCAACGAAAATAGTTGTTATTGTAATGTTCGTACTCACTGAACTACTTCTTAACACTACTTATAGCACTTGTAAGACCGGGGTAAAATAAGAAGGCGCATTGTAATGAACTGAATACCGCCGGTTGACATTAAAGGAGTGATTGAGCGTTACATAGTGAAGCCGGTGTAGGTAGCGGGCAACTGAGGCCGAGGAGAAGCATCATACAGGACAGGGAGTGTAGGAGTTTTGCCAACGGGTATCAGGTAGAAAGGGTCCCCATCCATGAATTCCACATACTGCGGAGTTTTGTCAACGGTTGTGGGTTGCGCGAGAGGGGGAGGGGGAGAGAGAGAGATTACACGTGACCGTGAGGGTGGCTTCCGCTAGGGGTGGACAAACCAGGCAAGATGCTGACTGCGTTCAAAATAATGGAGTTATGCACCTCTGACTGTGAAAGGAAATGTGTATTGAATTTTTAACCTAACCTAACCTAACCTAACCTAACCTAACCTAACTTAACTCACTGCGACAAGCGCATAACTGCCAAGCGTAGACAACCCTGACAATCGCTCTCCTTCCCTCCGTCAAACTCTTTCTCCCACCACCACCGTTGGCAAATCTCCGCACCAAGAGGTGGCCGAAGGCATCCCCCCCATCTACCTGACACCCGTTGGCAAAACTCCGGTTCCCCAGGACAGGCGGGGAATAGGACGCTATCTGTGATTGGTTAATGTTCAACCAACGGTATTAATTTATTCAAATGAACTATACATTACAGCACTGTTGCCAATACAAATATTAAATGTTATAAATCAATATGCATATATTACCATATTATTACATATTATTATATATTTCCTCCCCCTTAACTTTTTGACATAAAAGTAATAATTTTAAAAGTTTAAACATGAACATCTACAGTGGATTAGACATGACAAAAACATAAACAGTACGGTAATCAAATCAATAGTACACACAACAAATACAATGTAAACACATAAAATGAGGGAAAATATTCCTAAACAAATAACAAAACACAGTACATAATAAACTATAAGGATTGTAACAATAATATTTACAAGTTTAACTTCACTACTAGTCTATGTTCCCTGACTGGGTACCTACGCTCAGATCTGACAGGTGATTGTTTACTATCATCAGCTGTTACTGCCCGCTGCGGGCTCGGTGCGGAAATGACGTCACCTTGTCTGTGGTCAGGTACACGTGGAAAGGTGGAATGACGGTTACTGGAACTGGAGGGGCGGGAGAAAAGGAACTGGAGCGGCGTTTGTTGGAGCTGGTGGGAGTGGCTATTGTTGGACTCATATGTTGTGGAGAGGGTATAGGTCGGGTGATTTCCACAGCTGATTTCCCCCTCTCATATAACTCAGCTGATACCTTTGGCAGCGAATCTAAGTTTACCTCCGGTACAGCTGTTGTAATACCACTATTTAACCCAATTATCTGATCGATATGACGTTTCCAAATAACATCATTTTCCAACTTTACTAAATAAGACACAGTGCTTAGAGGTTTTACGATTACACCTGAAATCCATTTGTTCCTGCCCCTATAGTCTCTTACAATCACAGGTTGGCCTTCACATAAAACTCTTGTTTTACTTCCGCCATAATTACCAATCTGCTTACTCTGTCGGTCATGTACAAACTGTGGTAGGTTTGGCCTGATCAGTGGCGGTTCCAAGGGGGGGGGGCTACAGGGGCTAAAGCCCCCCCCCCCTTGGACCCTGAAAAAAATAAATTTAAACGTGCATTTTGTCCTTAAGAGTGGGTCCCAGTAAAAGAAGAATTCCGAAATTGGCACACTAGCGCGCGTGGAGAGGAGCGGACATTTGTTGAACTACGTGCGTGGCACCTGTGTTGCCGAACCATCGCCAGGCGCTAAGCAATGTATGGCAACGCCGCATTAGCACTGGCGATGAACGAACTGTGTCAGTGGACTGGACGGCGATTCGGCTTTGCTCGGAGGACGGAGTGCACTAAAGTCACTTCCATCGCTTATTTACTTAGAATACTCGATTTTGCTCACTGCTCATCGTTGTTAGTGGATTTATCTAGGATGGTTATTTAGCCTGTTACAATTTTAAATTACATTTACATTTATATTTATTTTAAATTACAATTTTTATCATAGACAAAGTAATGTTATTGGAAAATAATCAGTTTTGAAAAAAAAGTTTTTAAGTGGAACAAGGATCATATAAAATTTGCTAAAGCAATAATTGAAATTTCTTATAAAAACCCTATAGTTTATCATGATACCGGATAGAACATGTGCTGTGTTCAACCAACTGTTTCCTAATTTCTTTTATTTATCATATGACTTTGTTTACATTAATTTGTTTTTGTTTTGTTTCACTGAAAAAGCTAACTCACAATAATTTGCTACAGAATAAAAATTTGTACTAAAACATAAATCAACTTTCTTTTCATAGTACATAGCAGATGGCGACTGATGATAATGAAGAAACATGGAACAGCTACCTATAAAGACTAGAAATAGCTTTTGTATTCAACAATATTTCTGAGGAAAACATGACAATAACACTGCTACATGTTATTGGAAAGAAAACTTATGGAACACTTATTGATTTGTTACAACCTAAATTGCCTACGGAGTTTTCGTATAAAGAATTAATTAAACAACTCACCAAACACTTTTCACCACCACCAAATGAAGTAGCAGAAGCTTTCAAATTCCACAATAGACGTCAACAGGAAGGTGAAGACATACCTAGCACTTTGCAACGGAATTGAAAGGATTGTCAAGATACTGCAACTTTGGCAACTTTCTCGACACAGCATTACAAAATCAGTTCATACAAGGAAGAATGAGTATGTGATTCTAAAACTTAGGGGAGAGGTGCTGTGTTCAACCAACTGTTTCCTAATTTTTAGAATCACATATTCAATCTTGTAACCGGTTGTTTTTTCCTTGAGCTTCCTCTTAAGACAGGGTTTGAGGCTTCACCGTTTGGTAGAGGAGCTAGAGGTTGGTTAAAGCGAGCTTCATCTTCAGTATGGTTGTTGAACACATGATCATTTGCTCCCTGAAGTTCCTCATCTTGAATTAATTGTAGACCCTAGAGGAAGTTTGATATTGATAAAGTAGTCCCTGTCGTCCTTCTCACCGCTTAAATTTGAACCAACCGATCTTATTTGATCAATGTGTCTTTAAGAAGAAGCTCAAGGAAAAAACAATCGGTTACAAGAATGAATATGTGATTCTAAAACTTAGGGGAGAGGTGCTGTGTTCAACCAACTGTTTCCTAATTTCTTTTATTTATCATATGACTTTGTTTACATTAATTTGTTTTTGTTTTGTTTCACTGAAAAAGCTAACTCACAATAATTTGCTACAGAATAAAAATTTGTATTAAAACATAAATCAACTTTCTTTTCATAGTACATAGCAACATGAAATTTAAAAACTTTTTTATACGTGATATTTATTACATAAACACACTAGTTTAGGAGATATAGCCTATGAAAAAATGACTTCCGGTCTACTTTTTGTAAGATGCAGCTCCTAATAGAGAAAGTTTAGCGCAAAAATGTGAAGATTAAAAAAGAGTTGTACGAAAGAAAAATAGTGGAACAAGGCTCATGAAAAATAAGCAAAAACAGGGTGAATAATATTTAATTAATTGATCTGTTATGTACATTGTGTAACATTATCAATTCTGGGATTACTCAAAATGATACAAGTTAAGTAGGCCTAACTACATTAATGAATGGTAAATTGGATCCAACACATGTTGGAAACATTATTAACGGTGTTTCAAATGCTTATTTTTAAAGGTAAGGGTCAAGTGGAGGTGATAGATTTCTTCCCCTGAAACCGCCTAAATATTATGAACAAAGTATCATACAGAATATCAATTATTAGTACCTAATTTAAAATTAAATATTGTACTTAGTTATAAAGGGAAAAGTTTGTTTTAATACTTAAAGTCGGCCGATTTGCACGGGACGAACATGAAAAATTTTGTTTTCTATAATCTAGAATAGCCTACATTATTTTCAGATATGACGAATTGATTATATTTTCAATTTATCAATATATTTACACTTTTAAGTGAAGTATTCTGTGAAGCGTTGTTAATGGGATTTACTCCAAGGGTAGGGAGGGGCCGTCGAAGGACCGGCCTAGCCATTGTTCTTCTCTACTCTCTGGTCAGGTAGTCTGCCTCAACTTAACATGAGACAGCCTTTACTCTTATCACTGCAGTCACCACTGGCTTGGGTTGCCTATGTGGCATTTGTAATTTTTTTTTCCAGTAATACTAATTCACTTGAAGTAGGGCCTACTAAAATGTCTTACGTATAACCAACCCATGTTAATTTACAGGCTCATTCCAATAAAATTGCGGTATTAGACCTTCAGTTGCAAGATCTTTAGTTCATTTATTAGCCAATTATTAATTTAAGTTACCTGATGCCGAGGTTTAACTGTTGTAACAGAGTCAATTCTTGTGTCGCACACCACCTGTGAATCACTCTTCGACTAGGGCTTCCAAATACTCTGGCCAATAATAGAACAATTTGCTCATTGTCAGGTGCTATATCTGATGTTGGTTTAATGGTATAGCTCATGGAATCATGGGATCCTAGAAATATAATGAGAATAACTTAGTGGAACAACCTTAAAATAACTTAGGTCACCTTTGGTTTTGTGGAAGAATGATAATAAATTAAATTCTTCTTTGGGTTGGTTCATTGATAGTGTTGTTTATCTTAGTTAGGCTAGTACCAGTGTGATGCCAGCTTATTTAACCATACCCAAATGAACTTAAACCTAAATAAATAGGCTATATATAATTGAAAATCATAAGTTCTAGTTTGCTTGCTGCTGCTGGAGAAACCTCTTCCTCAACATTTGCAATGTAAAATAGGATAAATAGCTTACCTTGGCAGTGTCAGAATTCCAGTCATAGAAACTAACTCTATTTTTGGATGCCCTTTAGTAGCCTATCTGTCCTACACTCGTTCAAATGAAAAATATTGATATATATCGATTATTTCATTCGGTTAGGTTAACCTAGCTTACCAAACTTGATGTATCGAATGAAATAATCGATATATTCATTCAAATGAGTGTAGGACAGATAGCCTACTAGAGTGCAGCCCTATTTTTATTAGGATTCACAATTAGTAATGCGCGATTACAAGATGTTTAAACAATCAAAATGTTCCATCTCAAGATGTTCCGCTTATTGATTGTTTCGATTACTTAGTGAGAGGTTTGTACAATCAAAATGTTTCTCTCGATTGTTGCATGTGTTAAGCCAAAACTTTTGTCTGCAGTCTGCACCACTGTCTAAATTCTAAGGTGACCATGCTACATTACAACTTATAGGAGCTGTTACGAGGATGATAATATTAATTATTTTTCTAGATTTCAGGTAGACTTCTGTATTGATTATTAGATTGTTTCATTCGATATATCGATCGATATTTTCATTCGCTTGTTTGAGCCAACAGATACGGAAGTCTCCGATTGTTCGGGTACACTTCCATATCTGTTGGCACAAACAACCGAATGAAAATATCGATCGATTACCGATTATTCGATATATCGTTTGGTTAGTTAGGTAAGGTTAATCTAACCTAACAAGAAGTTAACCAAACGATATATCAAATTAAACAATCGCATAATCAATATTACTCATTCGGTTGTTTGTGCCAACAGATATGGAAGTGTACCCCGTAGATAAAGTAGGCTAACTTAATATATCCATAAACCTTCCTCGGTGTTGAAGTAAGAAATACCTCTCATTGAGGGTCAATTTCCGCCAGATACAATAGAAATTGGATGCTAATAATTGCCAATGCCGTACTTAACAAAACAATCGCCATGAACATCTCTTTAAAACTCTCAGTACCGGTACCCTAAGGACTTCTCGACTCTCTTTTAGACGAATACGAGACAAATTATATGTTCATGCCGTGCTGAAACGAAACAATCGCCACAAATATCTCGATAAAAACCACTCACTAAGATAAGCAAAATTACAATCGAACCGTCTCAAGAGGTAGGCCTACAAACATTCGAAACTTTTCTCACAATTGCGCATCACTATTCACAATGAGTTTACTTCTCAGATAGGCCAATTAAGCCTAGGCCTAGTACAAACTAATAACCAAGTTTGTAGATAAGTTATTTCAAACTAACCTGGAATAGCTAGATTAATTACCGGTATATTTTTTAAGGATTCGTCAAGTTGGCTCATCCAATTGTTCAAACTCATGATCAATTTCGGTAAATAATATCCAAATATCACAATTAACTAGTAATTTAAACTACTTGAACGATTTGGTTTGGAGGTTAAGTTTTGTTGTTTGTTGTCTTGTTCTTGTTACTGTGACTGTCTGATGTGAATAACAGTGTTGCCAAGCGACCTCTTTTGTTTTCCCCGCATGAAAGGACGGAAATCCTCGATTTTCCTCGCAAGGATTCTAAAATTACTCGCAAAATCCTCGATAGCATCCAAGATTAAAATAATTTGAAATTTACCCATATTTACACGATAATATACGTTTCTACGGTTTCTTTTTTTTACTAGAGGTGCAAATAACCAAGCATACACGTATGTGATGTTGTGGATTTTCCCCGCAATTGGCAACACTGTGAATAAGATGTGATGTTGTGTTTACGTTTTGTAATTATTGTATCATTGATTGGGTCCGATTGTGAATCAGATCCACTCCGATCCAGTCATGATGTGATTCCTTCTAATCCAATTCTTCCACTTCCACCATGGTTGGACCATTGTGTATTATAGCTCAGTGGGTTGGGTTGGACCATAGATTAAACATACTCCCTAAGTAGGGAGTATGTTTAATCTATGGTTGGACCTTGGACCTTTGACTATTAATACATACATCCAATAGTCAATGGTTGGTTGGACTCAACGACTCAACTGGAAATGGTATATAGTCATCATAGTCAGTCATTGAGATGAATCATGAATAGAATATTTTGGTCTTTGAGGGAGTGAAACTGAAACCGAACCACAGGAGTAGATTGGACAAAGTTATTGGACGAATTTTGAAATATAGTTTGGTTGTTCGCTATTTGTACGATCAATAATATAATTAATATTCAATATTGTCATATATATTGTTTATCAAACACATCATAGTCACGACGCGACGTAGTTGTAGGGTTGTAGCACAGAATTATATTATAGATATTCTGTGGTTGCAGCATAGATTAAACATACTCCCTTAGTATGTTTAATCTTAAACATACTCCCCTTACTCCCTAAGGGAGTATGTTTAATCTATGGTTGTAGTTAGTTGTTGGTAGTAGAGCGACTCAGAGCGGAGCGAGTAGTAGTAGTGTCAGTCTGTCCTGTCTGTCAGTCAGTGTCAGTGTCCAGACCAGTGTAGTCACTACTCACTAGTCACTAGTCAGTCAGTAGTCACTAGTCAGTGTCAGTGTTGTGATAGTGGTTCTGTCACCAGACTGCACGTTGCACGCACGCACATATTTCCACCAGGAACCGGAAAGACCAGTAGGCCTAGTGTTTGAGTGAGAGAGAACTTTTAGTTCCATCGGTGTCATCAAGCAAGTAACTTTCCAGTGTTGTTGTTTGTGTTTGTTTAAGACTTATCTCTAAGACAGGATTGGTCTACAGTCTACTGCCTGTAGTTATGCCTCTTGAGAAACTAACATCCTCTCCAACAGGTTAATACAACATTTTATTAGCATGTATATAACTAAATTTCAATGTTCAACAAGGCCAATATATAATATATTGTTTTATTCAGGGAAACTATCATCAGGCTGTGTTTAAACTGGTACAAAAAGTAAATATTTACTTACCTTAATAATAAATTAATTAAAAAAAAGCTAAACAGATAATGTAAAGAATATTGGAAAAATATATAAAAAATACTAGAAAAAATAATCTTTTGAATTTTGGATGGACCTAACTTATATTAACTTACAGTGTTGTTCTTGATGTAATTATTTTAAGTAATTCCGAGTTAATTGGGCAGTCTTAAGTTAATTAACTTATTTAACAAATAATTTTGATCTGTTTTTCTATAAAATAAAATTCCCACATAAGATGTTGAGGTTTTATAATTTGTTTCAAAAGTTTAAGGTTTCTTATATTGAAAATATGTCCTGTGAGTTATTAATACTATAGTTCGGCCTCTTAGAAAGCAACCAACTCCAGCATTGGTTTAGCATTAGCGCGCAGGTCGTTTTCTAAGCGGCCGAACTAAACTTATATCTTACTAATCTATATCTAGGGGCCTATACTATTATATAAAAATATAGTGGTGTCTGTCTGTATGTGTGTTACTAATAAACACATAAACTACTGAACTGACTGGGCTTAAATTTTACACAAATATAGCGACCATACCAAGGACCATTATAGGACTATTCACTCTTTGATACTGACCGTGGGCTTTGCCCCTTTGGCTTTAAAAGTTCTGAGTTGAGTATTTTAAAAGTAAATATTGATTGGTCTCCATGGCTGCCATTAAACACACACAATGTTTACAATTTGCTATGCCACCCAAATGTAAATAAGCTGAACTGTCAAACCACATTAATTCACAACTAGTGGAACCCCGTCGAAATCGACGGTTAATGTTAAGGTTTTATGTAAATTCAGCCAACTGCGATAGATAGAGTGAAGTCATTAAATTCTTAGTTAAATGAAGGGGGGGTAAGCGATAATAAGTATGACGGTTGTGTTCCCTAAAAAACGTGATTGATGAATTTGATTAACACAATATTGCCTACCTTTTTATCGGCTTTAGGTTGCCCAAAAGGTTTTTCAGGAGTCTTATAATAGTTTGTTCATGAGTTTGTTTCATGTCAAAGCCACTTTCACTATATGGGAGAATGAGTTCATATAATTAGTCTATCATGTTACGGAAAGAGTCAATATTTATAACTAACAACTAATTCCATCAGCTTTAGGAAAATCATTCAGATTGTATCCGGATTTATAAGTAAATCTTCATATTTGGCCATAAAAATACAGAATTTTATCAGCATATTAAATTAGTTTTTTTTTGTATTTGATAAAAATATCTGATTCTTCAGAAAGCAGTAACATTCTTACTTCGATCTAAGCAATTTTAATTGCTTCTCTTGCCACATCGACTCATGTATTTAATCATCCTGTTCTTACTTGATAATTCATTAACTTATGGGGTAGTTTTGCCTTGGCCATCAATCACATAAAGCTCTGCATGTATTTCGTGGATGGAATGAACCATAATTGTAGGAAATTTGATCACAAATCTTGAACTTTTGCGGAACCAAATCCGTAACCTAGTCCAGCCTTGGTAACAAATTATGCAAATGCGATTAGATGTGATGACACTGTTGTGTTTCCGAATGTTTTGTATACAGTTAGGTTTAGATGTGTTGTTCGACCTAGCTACATTTGTACATCAAAGTAAAAACCCTGTACACATTTTTTTTAATACCTGAATTGACATTAGTTCAACTACTTCACCAAAACCATAAATGAAACATACTCTGTAGTTATTCTATTCCAAAACTTGAACACAGCTCTCATCCTCAACGTACTCATCTATGACACAATTTTCAACCCGATTATCGAAAACTTGTATACCAATAAATGAAATTCTGGTGCTCTTTCTTGAATTAAAAAATAAATGGTGATTGAAAGTAGGCAAAAAAAGGCAAGTGCCAACTTTACAATATATAAGCTAACCCGATAAGGAATAATCATATATTCCTTCAAAATTGATATGTCACACTTATTTCATAATTTAAAATTTTCTAAGAGCAATAGCCTAAAGCATAGATTTTTGAACAAAACATTTAAAACGTATGATAAATTCATCATTTTGTTGAAACTATAAAAAAACTTGCCATGCAGTGGAGAATCAATATAAAATCATAAATAATAATGTAAACATTTAATTTTGACAGTTTCAGTAGACCTTTAAATACAATTTTAATATTAACAGCTGGTTCATTAAAAGTAGTGTAAAATTATGCATATGGTTGTAATGTAAACAAAATTGCAGAGGGAACTTTAAAGGCCTCTGGGACAGAGACCCAAGGAAATTTACCTCGTTTCTCTTTTGAGGGCTCAACTACAGACCAATACCTTTCTTTAGACACCCCTACCAAGTTTTTACGCCCAGCCGTTCTCTCAAATTAGCTGTGACAAAAACCCCGTTTTCCTCCATAAGAATAACATGGGATTTTTAAATAAAAATTGCATATTACTAATTATTACCCATAGATTAGTTATGATGTTTTCTAATCCAGAGGTAGCTACTGGTATAACTTTTGACACTTCCTGTAGATTTCACATTCTATTCTAATAATGAATAACTTTTTACAAGCGTTCCATGGTCATTACATGTATATTTTCAAGTTCCTCTTAACTTAACCGACCCTTGACATAAAAATTGTTTGAATGACGTTAAATTTCCTAATTCTAAGCTAGGGGTATATACAAATATTTCAATTGAAAAAGAACAATAAAAAAACTAAGTTTTATATGTTCTTGCCTTTGGTACGTGAATAGTAGGAGTTATAAATAGTAGGGCTTAGTATGTTTTTGTTTTAGTAGAAAGAGTGTTAATGTTTTTTTTTGTTCACATAGTATAAAATGAGATATTTTATAATCAATGCTTATTAGTGTGAGCAATGCTTTTTAGAAACAAGATTACATGTTTAATTTAATTCAATCCGTAATATTAACCAGATGTTGCAAATTATTGTTTGTCTATGTTTGATTTTATCATTTTAAAAGTAAGTTTTTTTTGTTGTTTTTTTTTATCAGAATTTATTTTACTCAAAATAAAAACTCAAAATAAAAAAACTCAAAACTTAAAAGTAAGTAAAAGCTTTGAGTTCTTTTTATTTGTTTACGTTTTGTGACCAACAATTTTGTTGTCTACTTAAGACAGAGAGAACGACTTTTACTCTAAGCTATTTAATTCATGGAGTAAACAGTTTGGCGTCTATGAATATATATCATTATAATTTCACAGCTTTCAGAATAATGTTATTTAAGTTAATTCAATTTCACAACTTTCTGAATAATAAATTGAACTTTATAATATTAGTCGGCAGTTATATACCGTTTATGTTCAGTATTAAAATTCACCTTTAAATTAAAAATATATATATATGTATATATTTAGAACAAAGCAGCTTTTTACATTATTCAATTTAATGTTGGCATTGAATATTAAATATTCAAAGATGTTAGTAATACTAAAATGCTATGCGAAGGGGGGGAAAACAGGTCCACGACGTAGAGAGTGGTAAAG